ATCTTCCAGAACCCAGAAAAGCCTTAAGTCTTAGTTGACATCTTGACCTCAGTCATGAGATAACCCGAGTCAGAACCACCCATCAAAGCTATTCCCTGAATCCTGACTCACAGAAACCGTGAGATAATATATGTTGTTTTAAGCTATTCAGTTTTGGGATAATTTGTTATACATCATAGCTAACCAGTACAAAGAGTTTCATTGATTTCTTTTTAATTTCCTGACTTATTTCTTATCAAAGCTTTTTGGCCCATATGTTCTGCCTTTTGAGACATATTAAGATTCTTTTTAGCATGATAGATGATCAATCAAATGTGAAATATTGGAAAAGACCTGTATTATTAATTACATATACGTAACACTTCTTTTTTGCCTCTTTAATACAAACAAATTGAGAAGGATTAGTTCAAAATGTGTAACATTCAATTGTCAGTTTCTTCTTATTTCTTGGTTTTTATTTTATATGTTTGCATACAAAGTAACTTGTGTATTTATTGTTATATATGTTTTTGGATATAAAATTATTTTATCTTTTTTTTTTTTTTTTTTTTTTTTTTTTGCTATTTTTGTTAATGTGACATATCCTCCAAGTTGATGTTTTCCTTTATACTTCTGGCAAGCTTTTTGTTTTTCAAACCTATACTTCGATTTTAGATTCAGGATGCTGGGTCTTTAACTTCTTGAATCTTAAATATCTACTCCTCTCAATGAATAACTTTTAGATGTTAAAAATAGTACAATTGGAAGTAAAGAAAGAACATGTCAAAATGTATTTAACTCATTGGGAAGAGTACTGGGCGGGTAGGATGCTGAAACTAGCATAAAAGCATTTGTGTCATTTAGTATTTACAGTCACTGAGGAAAGAACGAGATGGCCCATCCAAATAAAATGCTGCTAATTATCTCCAGGTCAATGAAGAAGTAATGTTGGGGGTTACGGGACAGAAATCATTTGCATCCCTAATGGACAAAAATATACACATAATCCTGTAACTGAAGCGGCCCTAATGAATAATAAATATCAAGCAAACTGAAAAGGGCAGTTAAAAAATCCTTGGGTTGGCCCCAGTGTGAGTGAAAGGAAATGGAATCCTTTTTTGACATAATTACAGGAGTTGGGGAAGTTTTCACGACACACACATGTTAGAAACATAGAGCAGTTTCAGAATGACCTGCCCCCCCAAGACCACAAATGGTACCCATTTTAAGTGCACACTTTGAATTTTGACAAATGACTGCTCATCAGTCAGGAGAGGAAGATGTCTGTTACTGAGAAAAGATCCTCGGTCCTGTTTTCTGTCCATGCAGTTGGATTTTCTCATCCCGGAGATTCATCCAAATGCAATCTCACGCCATGTGCTTGTCTGGCCGCTGCCTTTCTCTAGCGCAATGTGCTGAAGAGGTAGCCGTCCTATGGGGTATGTTAGCTCATTCTTGTTATTGCTGAGAAGTTTCCATTGTGTTGATGGACCGCGATTTGTTGTCCACTCACTGGTGCGTATGTTGGCCTTAGCAAGTGCGTCAGTACCTGCAGTGCCTCCATTTACTGAGGGCGTTTTGCCGCCAGCCATGTTTTGTGGTTTTCAGTGTAGGAACCCTTGAGCGCCTTTTACGTTTATTCCTAACCGATTCATGGTCCTTGATGCTACTCTTGTAAAATGGAATTTTAAAACCTATCTTCCAGCGTGTTTCTGTTGTCATAGATAAATACAGATTTGCGTATTTTGACATCACGCCCCGTATCCCTGCTCGTGTTGCTGTTAACTTTAGTAGGGATGGTCTGTGTAAACAGTTATAGAAGTTCAAGTGTCTCTGAGTAAAGGCAGTGGTGTGGTGTTTGGTTTTTTTTCTTCCCTCCTTAGCTTTCTAGACTGGCTAGGACCTCCAATATAATGCTGAACAGAAGTCCTATCTTGTTCCAGTGTTCATTAGGAAAAGAGTGTTCCAGATTTCATGGGTAAAAAGTGTGACATTTGCTCTTGGTTTTTGGATGCTCTTTATGACATGATGTTTCCTTCTTTTCTCATAGTGTGCTGAGAGTTGAATTGTGAATCTTCTCAGATGTCAATCCTACATTTATTGAGAAGATGGTATAATATTCCTCCATTTTTCTGTAAATACAGGGCATCCCATTGCTTTTCAGGTTTTAAGCCAGTGTTTGTATTCCTGAGATAAACACCATTTGGTCATGATTATTATGGGTTCACATGTTGCTAGATTAGATTTGTCCCTATTTTTGTTAATAGTTTTTGAGTTTGTGTTTATGAGGATTACGAATTGTATCATAATGTCTTTATTATGTTTTACAAGTGAATAAATTGACCTCATAAAATGTTTTCGAAAGAAATTCATGTAAGACTGGTCTTATCTCTCCCTTGCGTGGTCGAAAGAGTTCACCAGAACATCTGGGTTCGACTTTACTTCACGGGAAAGTTTTTCATAACAAATTCATTGAAAAAAATAGCTTTACGGCTATTCAGATTTCTATTATTATTTTTGATAGGTTTCATTTTCAAAAACTGTGTCCATTTTGTCTGTTTCTGGAAGAACGGCAATGTCCCCCCTTTCGTTCTGATTTCAGTAATTTGGTTATGTCTCCTTTTCTCTCATTGTAGCCAGAAATTTATCCGTTTTGTTGATCTTTCCGAAGAGTCGGTGTGCATTCTGTTGTCATTTTTGTTGTTTTTGTCTATTTCACGTACTTTTCACTCTTCTTTTGATTTTTTTTTTTT